AGAATCTCTTAACAACCGAATTGTCTGTAAATTTACACTGACAGAAAAAATTAATTCTATCAAGAGAATTTTATTTGAACCAACTATTATTTGGTTGTTAATTTTCAAATAAACATGATTTTATAGTGAATACCAGTGATATTTTCTTAAGATACATTCGATTGGAAGAAATCGAACTTCTTCACGGAGAGAAATGTTCATTAAAAATTACGGAAAGCTCTGGAAAAATTCCGTGATTTTAGGTAAAAAATACGTGACAGTTCCGTAAAATTTCCTACAACCACATTGCGCTCCGGGATTACGGAAAAGATACGTAATTTTTATTGATTATTTTTCCAACTCAAATATTGGGCAATATAATTGGCCCATTCGACATCACGTGGTACAACCTACAGGGTTTTCAACTGATAATTTTTTGATAATTTTATACCATACGTGTGTGAAATCCGGCCGGTTTCAGTTGAGTGTCGACGCACAGAAAGTGCCGGGTTTCACACTGTAGTGTGGAACCCTACACATCTGTATAATCATCTGTGCGTAACCCATGGGCATGCGCAAATGCACGGGTCGATGCGCAGATCGATGCGCAAATGGTCGTTGCAATATCATCGTTGGATTCCACACATGCATTGCGCATCGACTCATAACATCGCCCACTGCCTCACTTGTTGGTATCCACATAACCCTCTCAATATTCTGTCGTTAAATTTATTCATTTATTCAATATAAAAGCAGTGAAATTAAATGGACAACCATATTATACCCGACAGTGACGAGGAGATTGATCTCTCGGGAGATTTATTTGATGGAGATTCGACATTCCTCACCGAAGCAACCGTCGGTTGTCCGCCAAATAAAAAGCTGTGTCTGGATGATGAAAATGATGAAAATAACAACTGGAATGATGAAAATCTTCCACCAGAAATTTCGAAATCAGGACAAGAAGTGAGGAATACTTTGATCTCCGAAAAATCGGTTGATAAATATATTTTTTTATTTTTGATCTTGATTTTGATTTTTTTTGTTTTTGACTTGACTTCACGCCAAGGACTGTTTTATTTGATTCAAGTAAATGTACCTCAAGAAGAAATAATTGATATTCATCGTAAGATCTTACTCGTTTGAAATTGGTTCAAGTATATAATACTTGTTTCGAGAAAGAAACATCTCAATAAAAATAATTTTTGCTATCAGCGTAGCAAACATGAGGTACGTTTCGCTGAGAGAAATATCCTATATCCTATATTGTGCATTGGTGGAATCTCCCCAATGTTGCGATGGTGAAGTAGCGTTAGAGCTTGTTGCCATGAGTTGCGCATCTCTCCCGTGAACAATCAATGATTGACGCATGGATGCACGATGTGATACGCCTTTTAAGTAATACACAACGATGATTTTGCATATGTTAACGTGTGTACAGAGTAGACGAGCCTCAATCATGGAAGAGGCGTACGCCACGGTCTTTATTGGGAGTTTAATTCGAGTGGAAACAAAAGGAATGTACTTCGACGCGGTTTTGAAGATAAGACATTACTCCGCGAAATGATTCAGAAAGGTATATTTCAGAATGCCAGTTCAAATATATTTAACTCGAAGATGTTGGGTAAAAAGGAATAACTCAATTCCTTTCACAAATTGACTCCATTCAAATTTCATGCACTCATAAATGTATTGTGAAAATGGATGATACACAGAAAAAAAACCGTCAATGATATTGATGACTGATAAATAGAAAATTAATTGATATTTTTTAATACTTGATCAATTTCATTTTACTTTTCAAAGTGAGCTGATCAATACCGGCAGTTGTTGAGAAATAAGGGAAGTGTTCAAACAATTTTCTTGAATTACTCAAAAAATACAAAAATTCTCTAGAAAACTGAATAATTTTCGGCATTTTTCTCAAACAAAAAAAAACAGATATATTCCTATAATTTTCTAAGAAACCCGCTATATCCACTTATATATAAATCAAAAAATGGAAGAGAGAATCAAATTTGCGCCTTTTGCAAAAAAAGAAAAATGGAAGAAATTGAAATTAATAAGATGCGTGAAAGCACATGATGAATTTTCATTCATCATCTACTATCTAAAATCTAAGAAGGAAAAATTAATCAATTGCGGGCATGATACCCATGAGAAAATTGACAATTATGACGCAAAAAATAATTTATTAAATATTGAATGATAAATGGAAAATTAATTATTATTTTTGAAAGTTTGATCAATTTCCTTTTCTTCTTCAAACTGACTTGATTAATACCTGTAGCTGTTGAGCAATAAGGTTATCAATTGATTTTCTAGAAAGATTAACTATCTTCTTGAATTATTCAGAAAATCCGAGAATTTTCTAGAATACTCAATCATCTTCGGAATTTTTCTCAAACGAAAAAAAAACGGATATTTCTCTACACTGATAGAACGGATTAGTTATTGTTAACGAATGGATTTTGGTTGGAGATTAGGGTCTATTCGGTTCCACCAAATGTTCATTCGTTAATAGTTAACGAATATATATTTAAGGAGCCTTGTTTGACTTGACTTTCGCCATTCAAGTGAACCATTCGTTAATAGTTAACGAATCTCGTTTGGAATAAATGAATCATTCTATCAGCGTAGAATTTTCTAAGAAACCCACTATATTCCCTAACTTCCCGCTCGCCAGAGCCTCATGTATTAAAATTCGGTTCCACCTGGAATCAAACTCGCAACCCTTCCGCACGCTGGACTTGCCTCTACTCCACTCCGTAATATCATCGGAAAATTTATTCATTCATACATGAAACCCACCGGTTTTCGGTCACGTTAAAAAATCCCGTGATATGACCCGCAACATTCTAATAACAATTTCCAACCGCTCGCTATCTCTAACCCATCCACAATCCAGTTCTACATTTCACACAACGTCTCATGGTCTGTTCAAGACCGAGAACGAGTTTGTTGTAATGATAAAATAAAGAATCAATTGAAGTTGGCCTCCTTTTAATCCAGTGCAGAACAAGTTTAATTTCAAGGTCAATGGATAATGAGAGCTTGATGAAACAGCGGAGATTGTTGCAGTTCCATTTGAATACGAGTACGATTGTCTCTGATAATGCAGTTAGTATTACTCGGATTTAGGCAAATATTCAACATGGAGAAGTGATTACTCAATTATGTTGACTCATGTCGTCATATCTCCGCTTAAACTCATATCGTGCTCCATTCCTCCGACACCTCAACGGAAACATCGGCAAAATACATCACTAAATACATCACCCAGTGTTGATGAGCCTGTTTTTTGAAATTGCAAACAAAACAGCGGAAATTCATTAATACTTGTTATATAATGGTTTATGAACACTTTCAACATCTATAAAATTCTCACTTAATTTCCCCTGTTTTGCATGCCTCGTATTCTTAGATTTCTTATGCTGCATAAATTTTCCAACGCCTTCGTAATATTCTGCGATTATGGAATTATTATTAGATGCCAACGCTGAGTATTTGTTGACAGTGGAATGAAGACTTTTCAATTGCCGCCGCAATTTGCGTGATTGTGATGATTTGGTGACTCCCTCATTCGGTAAATATGATGGTTCTAGAACAGGTAGATAAGCTTAAGCCGGAGATTTTCCAAGAGACGGCCGATGGGATTCTCCTTTGTTCAGTAATGATAGTTAATTTCCCTCTTGGAATTACTCTTCTAGATCTCACTAGCTGATTTCAAGGCTCAAATCCCTTGAATAAGACTCCGAAGCTGAAGGAACGGTTCATGACTAGAGAACAAATCAACTATAGGAACAAGTAATCAATAACTCTCTATTCTAAAGCTATCATTATCGATAGAGATGCATTATTTCACGCATGTTCTGAGACTAGGATGTATCTGAATTTCAGAGGAATTTGATTGTTGGCTACTTTCAGTTCTACTTTTCTGCGACTGTAACCTTTGCTTGTCGCGAATTGCTAAAGAGGGAGTAGATCGATTATATTGGAACAACACCGAAGGAAATTTAAAAAAAAACTTCCTGGACCATTGAGAAGTTTTCTTGAATCATTGCAAAGCTTCCCATATGAGAATTGGATCTCCACATTCTTTGAAGACTTCACCACATGTTTCTAGAAATCTTCGCTAGAAGTTTAGAAAAGTTAGAAGTTGGTTAACTCCAATTGATAGTTGGATCACCAGTCACAAATTCTTATCAAAATAGTCATAGTGAGGGCTATTGACCTTCTCATTCCCAGTGAACAAGTAGATAAGCTTAAGCTAGACATTTTCGAGGAGACGATTGATGGAATTCTCCTTTGTTCACTAATGATACTTAATTTTTCTCTTGGGATTATTCCTCCAGATCTAACGGATTTCAAATCTCGAATCCCTTAAATTGAACTCCGAAGTTGATAGGGAAACTCGCCTATGTGGACACCGAACTGTTCATGACTACAGAACGAATCTCTGCAAGCCACGAATCAGCTATAGGAACTCAGTAATCAATAACTCCATAGTCCAAAGCTTTCATTATCGTTAGAGATGCATTATTTCATGCATTTTCTGAGACTAGGATGTCGTGTCTGAATTTCAGAGGGATTTGATTGTTAACTGTTTTCAGTTCTCCTTTTCTGCGACTGTAAGCTTTGCTTGTCGTCAATTGCTAAACAGAGAGTAGATCCATTATATCGGAACAACACCGAAGGAAATTAAAAAAATTTCCTAGGCAATTGACAAGTTGTCTTGAATCATTGCAAAGCTTCCCAGACAAGAATTGCATCTCCACATTCATTGGGAACTTCACAAATTTTTGGAAGACTTCACCATGTGTTAGAAATCTAAAAATCTTCGCTAGAAATTTAGACAAATTTATCACATCTCTCTTTTCTGTGAAGTGTTGAACACTTTTCGACTTTGCATCAAATGTAGTATTGAAAAAATGGCCCAGTTTGTTCTCCAGAAAATGCAAAACCTGGAGTTGTCAACCCCAATTGATGCTAGATCATCACTCACAAATTGCTCAATTAAAATGCTCATAGTAAGCGTTATTGCCGTTCTCATCTTCAGTGTTGGAGTGAGTGGTGACCAAGAAATGGATAAAATCCTGCAGAGTTTCATCGTTGACGTGATTACCTCTCTATATGCAAGCTCAAGTTTCACAGTATTTCATTGTGCAAAACCAGGTGATGGATAATAATTTGAAAACCGAGAGAGTCTCAGATGGCTGTGAGAGCCCTTGCTCATATGATCGCTTTTCTTTCAGACGACATCACTGAATTTTCTAGATTCATGTCAAGGCATTATCAGTTGCATGAGGTCGCCACTATCTCTGAAGCCTACAAATTCCGCTTTATTGAATCTCCATTGTCTCATCAGAACTTCTACGTCGTTGACCTGGGCTGCGCGGGAGTTCATGAACTACTCATTCAAGTATAGCACTCGAAATTGTCCATAACCAAATTCCAATAAATTATCAACAACATAGTTAGCTTCATCATTTGTAGGCGAACAATACCGGAAGTTTCGTCGGTCCAACGAAGTGGTTAATTCTCCAAGATTTACAAACAGATTCGAATGCCACCGCCAATGAAAATTTTCATTCAGGTGCAACCGATCAAGCCGAATTGAGAAGCGTATTCGAAGATTTTCATGTCTTTCCAGACAGCGAAGTCATCGTAGGCCAAAAAATAAGCGATAATTCTATAAAAATCTTATCAGTTTATCGCCCTAGTCCCGTTCGCAGTCTCATCATCGAAGACAGGGGCACGTGGAATAGTATTGATGGTATTCAGCTCCGGGATCATGACGTCTCGTCGAGAAGAAGAACGGATCTTCAGCAAACCCCGTTGAAGGCGTGTTCTGTGGTGAAATTCTAACATTCCCGATCAATAATAATCATGCAGGCGTTGTATCACGGTTCCCACATTGAGCAGAAGGTATTTCAGAAGCTACGCTTTCATTTCAGGTGACGCATCCGGATACAATGAATCATTTGGAAGACCTAAAGGACAAGCAAGTCGACGTAATCACAAAAGTTGGATATGCCTTCTCGAAGCTGCTGGCGGCCCGGATCAATGCAACGTAAATACCTGTCTATTTTGGTCAAATGTCACTCAATAAACGAATAGAGTAACCCCAGCTGATAATTTAGAGTCACTTTCACTTTCGCTGCAAGTTGGGGCTACAAGGAGAAGAATGGAAGCTGGAGCGGAATGATAGGAGAAATTGATCGCAATGAAGTTGATTTTGGTGCTACTGCGACATTTATAATCGCATCGCGAATAGACGCTGTTGACTTCATTCAACTATACACACCGAATAGGCACATGACTGTTGATTCGTCTTTCAGTACTAGATATATTGCCAAACGCTTGCTGGAGATTTCCCAAATACTTTGGGAAATATGCAAAGTGCTTTGGAAGTTTTTCAGAATTTGGCTTTAGTATATGTTTTCTGTTCTAACTGATGGCATTCAATGTTACTAATTTTAGAATACGATTCGTCTTTCGACGTCCTCCGCTGTCCCACGTCAGCAACCTTTTCACTCTGCCATTCACTGAGAGTGTTTGGATCGGAATTTCCGTTCTTAGTTGCATCGGCTTCGTGGTATTGTATTTGAGCATGGCTTGGGAATGGAGAATAGTGAAGGATCTGTCGCACGATGAAAAATTGACGGGAGATCTGGAGATAAAGCCTGCTTTTGGCGACAACTTCTTGATCCTGATTGGAGCTGTCACCCAACAAGGTGATGGTTTCTGGGGGTTTTATTTAAACTCGATGATCTGAGTTCTTGTAACATGCTTTGCATCTTCAGGATCAGCATATGAACCGCGGAGTGTTCCAGCGCGGATAGTCATATTCATGCTTCTGGTTTTTTGTCTGAGTCTGTACGCAGCTTATGCTGCGAATATTGTAGCGCTTCTTCAGTCCACATCGGATTCCATAAAGAATGTTGAAGATCTGATGAACAGCCCTTTGAAACTCGGCATCCAAGATATAGTTTATAATCGTCATTATTTTGGGGTGAGTCGCAAGAATCATCACGACTATCTCACAATTGATGATCATATTTTAAAAATAGTCCTTCGAAGATCCTTTAAGGAAAGAGTTCTACGAGCGCCGCATCAAGAAACAGAAAGACATTTGGCTTTCTCTGACAGAGGGTATCGGTAGAATGAGAAATGAATTGTTCGCTTTTCACACGGAGCTTACTTCAGGATATGATGTTGTTCAAAGCACCTACGAGGAAGACGAGAAATGCGGCTTCGAGGAAATTGATTATCTGTATGTCTCTGATCCGGCGTTCGCTATTAAGCGTAGGTCACCGTATCGAGAGATCTTCAGAGTGGGGTGAACAGATTTCTCTTATATACTCCGTTTTTAATATATTTGTCATCAAGTTTTTGCAATCAAACAATGACGGAATACAAATTCCCGACCATTTGAGTTACCATTCAGACCACCAGTCGTCTTTAGGGTTCATATGTGGTAGCACGTCTAAAAAGCTGCTGTCAAAACAACTCCACCGTATCCGCTACATGTTATTTTTGTCAGCAGGTTTTTCAGCTTTGCTTACGTCCTACTCACTAGCCCCTGAGCTCAATGACTGATGCTCTTCCCTACACCGTTGCACCTTTTATACTCCACCGCGGTGTAGTGGGGGAAAGTCGAAGAGTGGGGAGCACTCTAGATGTCATCTGTAGGCTGATCACAGCCGGTAATTTCGATTTACCAACTTACCTTTCTGTACAAGAAATTTAGAAGTCCCATAGAGGTTGTAATTGAATTGAAGTGATAACATTATCTCTTGGCGACTGATAAAAAACATAGACTCAATGACCCGCCAATGCGTCCCAACAATTTGAACCAAACGCAATTTGAAAAGATGCAGGTTGAAGACTGAATAAACATGATAATTTTAGAAATGGGTTCAATTCAATTCATTCTGAATCTTTCTTTTCATTTCAGGGGTATCTGGCTACAGGAAACGGGTATAAAAGAACGTTACATCAGGATTATGTACAATAAGAAGCCCCCGTGCAACAATCAAAAGAAATTTGTCGGTGTTGGTACCATCGAATGTTATGCTGCTTATCTTACTATTGGTTATGGAATGCTCCTCACGTTTGGGATCCTGTTATTCGAAATAATCTGGTCAAAAAGGTGAGAAATCGCCCTCATTATCATTCATAACAATTGCAAAAATTGAATTTGATCAATTTGGCGCAGTAGCTTCAATCCTATCGTAGCTGATAACACACAAGTCAACACCCAAGAACCAGAACTCAATGAACATACCTCTTCTACTGACGTGGATCATGAAGATCAGGCGAATTTTGTTATTGATTGAATGCAATGTTGATGAGATATTGAGAGAAATAAATCTTCTTGTAATAAAGCAACACTTGAATCTTGTTATTTCTCCTCCAATTCCATTTTCCTGAGTCAATTTAAGGTTTATCGCAAGATGAACTGTCCGAATTGACCGTGAAATCTCACCAGAATGGTAGCAGTGCGCAGTCTCTTTCTGAAAATCGAGACTCGGGGCTAGCTTACATAATGATGAAGATGCAAACATTTAGTAGATAGAAAATTGAGTCTCTTGAATGACAACCACGTGAAATACTCGGTTCTATCTTGGAAGAATTGATTACTTTCCAATGTATGCGAGAATCGAGGGACTGGAAATCAATATTACAAAACTCAGAAGTACTCATTACCTCTAATCCCATGTTTTCTTCTCTACTTCGATGTCGTGCTGGAATTGACGAGATTTGATTATCAGTCTGCGGCGAGTATACGTCAGAAATGCATACCAACAAAGGAAGGAATATCGCCATAAAAATGATAGGAATAGCTGTCTTGTACATTCTCATCTGCAATGTTGAGTACAGCGTCACCCACGAATTTGATGAAGTTGTTATGAATTTGATCATTGATGTAACAAACTCTCTATATCATCCCAGTTTTAGTGTCACTGTGTTCCTTTGTAAAAATACAGGTGACGGTTGTCTGATTGAAGCTATAGGATGAATTATCAAGGGCATAATTGACATGTCTGTTATTGTTCCAGATAACGCCAAAGAGATTTCCCAATTCTTGTCGCAGAACCATAAGCTGCACACAATTGTCATGTTCTCAGAGGAGTATCAGCTGAGCTTGGTTGACTTCAAGTTGAGTCATGAAAATTTTTACGTACTTGATTTGAACTGTCCAGGATCTCACGATTTGATTGTTGAGGTACTCTTATGAAACTTTCTTGCTAAAATATAACAGAGACTTGAAGGAAAGTCAAACGAGTTATCGATAATTACGGGGAATCAATATTCACTTTAAATTTTGTTGGGGGACGTGACATTTTCATGTAATGATGTCATTAATTGATCCATTCTACCGATACCAGATAAATGAAAATAAGATGTTCAGTGCTCCTGGAAAATGGCTGATCCTCCAAGAGTCCCGATCATCGTTTCCGCAGGCAGATCATTCTGCAACTCCGACCAATGAAACCCAGCTAAGAGGCGTATTCGAAAATCTCAACATCTTTCCTGACAGCGAAGTTACTATAGCTCAGAGAATCGAAGACACCGTCGTAAAACTTGTGTCCATATATCGTCCGAATACTGTTGCGAACCTGATATTTGAAGACCGAGGCGTATGGAGCAAGGGGAATCATATTCAGCTTCACAATAATGAGGAAACGTCACGGAGAAGAACGAATATCATGCAGACACAGTTGAGGGCAGCCGCCGTGGTTAGGAAAATTACTTAATATGATAAGCGATGCGATAGAACTCATGTTTCGGGTTAATGACGTGATATTTCAGATAACAAACCCAAATACAATGAATCATTGGGAAGATTTCCAGGAGAGAAGAGTGGATGGGGTGTCTAAAGTTGACTATGCTTTCACTAAAGTGCTGGTAGCTCGCATGAATGCAACGTAAACAGTAATATAATTCAGTAGAGAATTGTTAAAATGATTCAAGTCGGTTTAGCCCTTAGCTGAGTTTTGGAGGAATATCTCTGAATCTAAAGGAGATAACGACGTTATCGTAATGACCTTTTTTGTAGAGCGAATTAAGGTCTACCAAAAAGGTTATGACAACAATTTTGCTATCTCCCTTAGATTTCGAGATATTCGCTGAAAACTGGCCACTAGCCCAAATCTACTAAATTCGCTCTTATTCAATAAGAATTGATGGTTCCATCAAAATGATATCCTTTCATTATTTAGAGTACACTTCACGTTTACACCTACTTGGGGGTATAAGTCATCAAATGGTAGCTGGGATGGAATGATCGGATCACTCCTTCGCAACGAAATCGATCTAGGCGGTACTGGCATATTCATCACTGAACCTCGACTCGAAGTCGTCAGTTACATCAATCTTTATACACCGACTAGGTATGTCCGAACTAAGATTTCACATCGGATCTATATACAATTTCTTTCGATCCAGAGTAAGATTCATATTTCGGAGACCTCCGTTGTCATTCGTCAGCAATCTCTTCGTTTTACCTTTCGCCAGAAATGTCTGGTTTGCGATTGTAATCTTCTGCTGTCTCGGTTACATGGTTCTATACTTCAGTTTGTCCCAAGAATGGAAGATGATTGAGAAAATACCTTATGAGGAAAGATTGTGGGGAGATTTGGAAATCAAACCTGCGTTTGGTGACAATTTTTTGATTGTGATTGGTGCTATCACGCAACAAGGTGAGAACTACTGTAAAATATTGTTACGGAATCGAATGGTTCAGTCTATCTTCTGCCCCTCTTTTGTAAAATGAGAGAAAGATGATTGTCATTCAATCTTTGGGAATAACTTCATGTTTGATTCATACTTGTTCCACGATTGATTGAAGAACTGGCAACAAATACGCCCCTTCAATTAATCCCGAGTTATTACTTAATTGAATACCATAATATGATATTTACACTGTAGCAGGTGTAGCTAGTCATACTTTATATTCATATTTGCAGGTTCCGCATATGAACCGAGAACTGGCCCAGCCCGTGCTGTAGTCTTTATGCTGCTGGTCACATGTCTGAGCTTATATGCAGCTTATACTGCTAATATTGTAGCCCTCCTGCAGTCCTCTTCGGATTCGATAAAGAATATCAAAGATCTGATGGAGAGTCCACTGCAATTGGCACTGCAGGATATCGTTTACAATCACTATTACATGGGTGTAAGTGATCAGTTTTTACTAACAGAAACATGCACTGTGTCCTAATATCTTCAATCATCAGAAATTCGATGATCCACTGAGGACAGAATTCTACGAACGCCGTATCAAGAATCTTAAAAATCCGTACATGTCTACTGAAGACGGAGTTGAGAAAGTGAGAACCGAATTGTTTGCTTTCCATACTGATTTAGTCATGGGGTATGATGTCGTGAAGAGTACTTACGAAGAGGATGAGAAGTGTGGTTTCGAGGAAATTGATTATCTTTATGTGTCGGATCCAACTTTCATAATCCAGCGACAATCGCCTTATGCAGAAATCTTCAGAGTTGGGTAAATATCTCATCTTTTGGGAATGATTTTTGTAGTTCTTCTGTTTGCCTTGTCACGAGAGGTTGCTCAAAATTTAGTTGAACGAAGGATTTTGTTCGGTCCTTGTGACCCTTTCTCGAAAAGATTTCGACACTTCTTAATAAAACAAGGGTATTTCATTTTCATTTTTAAAACAAGGTTATCTCAGAATTCTCNTGGGTAAATATCTCATCTTTTGGGAATGATTTTTGTAGTTCTTCTGTTTGCCTTGTCACGAGAGGTTGCTCAAAATTTAGTTGAACGAAGGATTTTGTTCGGTCCTTGTGACCCTTTCTCGAAAAGATTTCGACACTTCTTAATAAAACAAGGGTATTTCATTTTCATTTTTAAAACAAGGGTATCTCAGAATTCTCTATAAAACTCATCTATCTCAATTTTCCGGGGAAAACTCATGTAACTCAGACGAAATAAAAAAAAATTACCTCAATAACTCTGATGAAATACTGTTCAAGTGGTACTCATTTAATATGTATAATTCCCAGAGAATTTAGCAATTCTTTTATTTTAATTCCATTCCTCAAACTTCACGATACTCCCATACAACTCAAATTCATCCAGCTGTCAAAAACATGAAAACGTAAGTGTTTGAGAATTAATTCCATGTGGCACGTGTGGATCAAGATGTTTTGAACAGATACCTCCGATACCTTCGAATTATTCTGATCCTACGAGGCGTAGTTATGTACCTAAGTCCTGGCTACTCTCACTCTCTCAATTTCTTTTCCCTCTATCCGTATTTTTATTCCGAGTTATAGAATTCCATATATGTCCGTTCGAAAACTCCACTACCTTTCGTTTCAGGAGATGATTTCAATTTTCCTACTGATGAATTCTGGATCGGGGAAATAGAAGCTTCCTCGAAGTTTCATAATATTAGAGCCAAATTCCACAAAGCTCGAAACTTTGAAGACATTGTATGATTTATAATATTGCGCAATTCAATTTTTTCATCAATTAAATCTTCTTGCAGTGGCCTATGGCTGGGGGAAACGGGTCTAGCTCAACGTTTCATTGACAAAATATACCACAAGAAGCCAGAATGCAACAATCAGAAGAAATTCATTAGTGTTGGTACTGTCGATTGCTACGCCGCTTATCTCGTTATAGTTTACGGATTGGTAGTGACGTTTACGATACTCTTGTGCGAAGTGTTATGGTTCAAGAAGTTAGACCCTTAATTTTGAATTTCTCCTCATCACAGTCCCAAACATTTTATAAAACCCGAAATATTTCCGCAGTTTTGATAAGAGATCTTCTGAAATCGACGACGAACCAGAGAATCATGACGTCGCATCGATTACAAGCGCCGCTGCATCTGATCAAACTTTCGGAGAGGAACTGAACTCTACGATACTTGAAGAGATAATGTAGAAGATTATAGTGGAATAGTAATAGTAAATGGTTGAAGATGTGATAATCGGAAATGCATGGAATAGCATTTGTAAAATGTCCATGCGGACATAATGTTTGCACAATAAATTTGATTACAAAAGTCATGCTCATGCTCATCAATGTTTAAAACAATACCTCGATGTAGACACGTGTCGTAGAAGCAAAAGCTGAGCTTGGCATAATGTGTTATCCCTTTCGAAAATTCAGCGGAGGCAAGGCTTTTTTCGGGAAGGAACCGTATTAGCCTTTTTTAAATCGGAATTTAAATTTCAGGCCCGGGTAGATTAGCTTTCGAAAGTGATATTGGTTGTTTTTTTTATATGGATACGTCTATGGTTTCAATATGGGGGGTCATTTTGGGAAATGGTCCTTATGTGCAGCGCCATCTATCGTAATTCTAGAAAATTCTAGACGTTTCGAGGTAATTCGAGAAGTTTCTTGAAATTTCGAAAAAATTCAAAATGTTTCTAGAAAATTCGAGCGAATTCAAAGAGTTTCCAGAAAATTCGAGGGAGTGAAAGGAGTTTCTAGGAAATTCGAGAAAGAAGGAAAGACCATGGACAATTTTTTATTTTGATAATCTGAAATGATCTCCAATTGCTATTCAGTTTTACATAGCCCAGGAATCTTCAAAAATTATCATTGCACAATCAAAAAAACGTATAAAAAAATCTGAAGATTTTCAAAGAGCGTTTTTGAATAATATTGGGAAATAAACCCAATAGGGAGGAAATTGCAAATTAATAATTTGATGTATCTAATGGCTATTAGGTCGTCATTCGTCACTGCAATCGATGGCTGTCAGATCGTTAGTTACTATGATAAATTATCCATTCACTATTTCCTCTCTATCGCACTTATTTCTTAATCTTTATTTAAAACATTGTTTGAAAATGTTCATTTTTTTCTACTCTTTTGATTGTACAATCATAATTTTTAGGGACTCCTGCCTGATGTAAAATCCAATGAAAATTGTGATATATTTTACATTATAAAGATGGAAAACAATCGAGATAACGTTCGAAAGATAATCCACCCAGGCCTTAACCCCTTCTTTATTAGGCCTTTCTGTTACGAACCCTGATGTGTACTTAATATCACGAAGATTCGATAAATTCTGATGCATGAAAAATTATAAAACGCATTAAAAATTGAAGCTACACTCTCCAGCTTTCGAATGGCCTTGGCAGAAATGGATTATCTGTCACAGTTTTGGAATTATCCAGTGTTGTACAGAATCATACGTTTTCGCTTGGGTGCAAATACGTATATGGACCCCGTTCTTGAGGGGTTAAACTGGAATTCTCAGATGGACCTCGTCGAATCATTCCCCCGCGTTATGGCTTTTCTTCTAAAAAATGTCGAAGTAATTACTCACCCTTGGACAGTAACCCACAGCCTTGCGATGCGCATCAGATGGCTACACTATTTGTACTGAAGCAACAGAAAGGCTCTTAAACCCGGAGAAGAAACAAGTATAAGACAACGTGGGAATAGCAAACTGATAAAAGACCCTTAAACACTGTAACACTTTCATTACCTCAGAAGTACAGGCGCAGAGCGCCTCCATGCTATTATCCAGCAATTGCACGATACCCCTTGTCATTAGGCTTGAATGCCTGAAAGCTTTAACCACCACCTCCACTTCCTTTGTTTGCGCAGCCAACCCTAGATTATTCGCCATTCGGTCGACCGTCTCGACTTGTAATCCAAGAAATATCAGTTTTTAATCAACATAAGTTCATTGCAATAATCAGGTAATCGTATCCAGTGCAATTTGGCTGGCCAGAATGCTGGGCGCATCCCGTAATCTGTAGCTATTGTGTTTCCGCGGAAGTACATGATGCGTGAAATTCGGGCAATAGCTATTGCCTGGATATTACTTAATTTGTTGGCCCGCGGGAGATCCGATCGGATCGATGCAATCATTGGAAACTTCATTACTGATGTGAGCTCATCACTTCTCGTCTCGTCCAGCTTCACTGGGTTCTTCTGTATGGAGTCAGGTGATGCTAAGACTCCATAAGTTTACAAGTGAAAAATTGGTCTTGTATTGCATATAGTATAGGTATTTTTGCTAATAACTTAGCAATATGCTTCCGAATGGTTATTTTGCACATAATTTCCTTCTATCACGTATAATTCATTGTTTATTTCATTTTGTTAAATTGAATAAGATTTCTTTTCAACTAATTTTGTCAGATTTTCAACTCAGTTGAATGTTATCATCATCATTATTCTTAGTATCCCTTTCTTCTATACAACCGATTGTCTTTTTTACGGTTCTATCTCTCCCCTCTGCCCTTCGATAAAATGTTAATAGAAAAATTTTATTTATACATACTTGAATGAATTTGAAACATCACATTTGAAGAAACCATCAGAAAGCTCACTTTCAGGGAAATTCATGAAAAATTCGAAATTTTCAAAAATCATAAAAATCAAATCAACCAATATATCTATCGTAATCATCTTTTAACTTCGACTTAGTGGCATTAAAACAAACATTTTAAGCTATGATTGAATTTATTTGAAGCATGATATTCAAAGATATCGTCGGAATTACCATTTTCAAAAAATACAAAATTTTTGCAAATTTTCAAATAAATCAAAATAACGATTATTGCTATCGCCCTCATCTTTGAACTCGGTCAAAAGGACATCCAAACAATTTTTTAAGCTATCATTTAGTCAGTTCAGAACATTTTTTTAGTTATCGTGGGACAATCGATATTCGAAAAAGTTCGAAAATTAAGAAAACTACATTTGAAAAACAAGATTTAATTCCATCCACTCATTAGCGAACAATTGAAGAATAACTTTGTTACATACACATACACATACGGACGAGGTCTAAAAATTGCATTTTCAGACTTTTCAGATCATACTGGATCGATATAACACAAAAAATCCAATACTTGAATTTGATTTTTCCATTGACTGTTGTGTTCTATCAAATTTTGAGATTTCTTTGGTTTAAGATATTTTTGCAACAATCTTTGAAGAACTGATGGGTTGATAAATAGAGAATAAATGAATGCCCTGATGAAGAACACTTTGTGTGTTCAAAACGTTGGCAAATAATGGAAGAATTTTTTTTTTTCTTTTACGATTCTCTCCTTTTTTCAATTCTTATTAAAATTACTGCTATTCCCGTTAATGGCTGCAGAAGTAGGAGTTTCTTTTACGTTGAATTTGAACAATTTCAAAGCTTAGATCCGGAAGCAAAAACCACAAGATTTCTTCCTTTCTCTCCAGTCATAACAAATTGGAGATTCATTTTGGGTGTGGTTGCAGACGACATCGTAAAATTCTCAAGACAAATCTCCCGGAACTATCTCCTGCACAAAATCGCATCTTTCAACGATTCAGATCTGATTGACATCTCTCAGATCGCCACTCACAATCATTACTTCGTTGTTGATCTAGATTGTCCGGACGGTGCTGACTTCCTCATTAAGGTATTCTCCTATTTATAGTCATTATCTGCCTCTCACGATAGTATCTAAGAAGTTCGAAAGTCGCAAAATGATGCCTTTAGGCAAACACAAGAAGACTGTTCATCGCACCTGCCAAATGGCTCATACTTCGGGATTTGCGGAATCAGGATGAACTGCGAGGATTACCTTATCTGCAATCGATGGTGGAAATGAACGAGGACACGTTGATCAGCCTGTTGAGCAACTTCGACATCTTCCCTGATAGTGAAGTTATCGTCGGCCAGAGATTGAACGAAACTACCGTACAGCTGTCGTCACTGTATCGTCCCAATTCTGATCACAGCCTGACCATCGAGAATCTAGGGAGCTGGGATGACGAAGGTGGTCTGTGTCTTTGCAGTCACGATCAATCTTCGAGGAGGAGAGTCAATCTGCAGGGGACTGTTCTGAAAACGAGTCTCGTGGTGAGCTGTCTACACTGCGAAAACTAATGTCTGAATTTCAGACACTTTAGTAGACACTTTTCAAACACTTTTGGGACGATTTTGTAGACACTTTTGAGACATTAAAATATGTCTGAATCAATGGAGGTATTTCAATTTCAGACACCAAGATATCTGAAATTAAGATACAGACATCAGTTTCAAACACAAGCGGTGTTTGGAATTTTCAGACATCAATTAGATTGTCAGACACTTTTAAAGATTCTGCCAGCTTAACCCTTGACTGGTCACCATGCGAGGGAATAGACCTTTTCATTCTGAGAGTCACTAGATTTGCGGACACTTTTTTCCCATGTTAATTCCCCTAGGATTTGCGGACACTTTATCGAATTTACACATAAATCATGGTTTCTGAACGCTCAAGTGTATATCATTGTAAAGTTCAATATTTATCAGAATTTTCCATGGTTTTTTCGGAGATTTTTACGTTGAATGAACGAAATAAATATTCCCCCTAGATTTCCAGAATGAAAAGGTCTATTGCCGCAACACGTCATTTCATTCACCTTGCCATCAACTGGTTAACCGGAAAAATTTGAGAAAAATTGAATTCGTCAATTGAAGTATCTGGAAAATTCTAGTACTTTTTTTTTCAATATTGTATCCTTAATTCTGGGAGAAAAAAAATTATTTCCAGTAGGTGAACAATTTTTTTCCGTGTTAAATGAAATTGCCTGTTGCGCGACGTTGCTGGCAACTCGCTAAACGCGCCCGGGAAGTGTAGAGTGGATTCGGCAACGCTGGAGCCTAAATAACATGGCGGCACTCTCCCGCGAAGGTGACTAAAGTCGCATTTTCCCGTCAGGTGACCAGACTAGGGTTAAATTCAGATGGTTGTCAGACACCTAGTTTTTGCAGTGAATGAGTCAACTTTTCAGACATGAGAAATATCTTAAAAAATAACGTTTCAATGGACTTTGCTGTCTGAATCAAGTGAGATATCTTAATAGTGAAATGTTTGAATCGCTCATAAATAACTGAATTTCTGATACAGAAAATATCTGAAAATAAATACCTGAAATTTTTCAAACACAAAACATGTCTACCATCGTTTTCAGACAGAAACGGTGGTTGAAATTTTCAAACATTAGTCAGATTTTCAGAAACTGGAAGATTCAGACGTTTTTTACCATCTGTCATGTTAAATTCAGATAGCTGTCAGACACCTTGTTTTTGTAGTAGATACGCAATTTTCAGCTGATTGATCTTGACCAAATTTCGAAGATCTCGTAGATTGAGTGAGTCATCTTGATGACCTGTGAATATTCCAGATGACAGATCTCAACACGATTAATCATCTCACCGATTACCAAGATAAGCTGATCGATGCTGTTACCAAAGCCAGTTATATGTGGATCGTGTATCTTTCGGAACGGATGAATGCAACGTAGGTGTATCCATCAGATTTCAGAGCTAAATCGCTTTGAATCGCGTGATTTTAACGTAAATGAATTGAAATTTCAATGTCCGATGTAGCTTCAACTTCACGGTGGAGCGCACATGGGGGTATAAAAATGAAGATGGCAATTGGAACGGGATGATTGGACTATTGGACCGCGGGGAAATTAATATCGGAGGCACTGCGACTTTCATGATATCGCAGAGAATCGGAGTTGTTGATTATGTTCAGTTGTATACACCGACAGGGTACGTCATTATAGGGCCGTGTCCTAGAAGAAGATACCACGCACGAAAAAATTTGATAGACAAACCTAGCGAATTCGTTGGAAAATTCTATTGGATTTCTATTGAAATTTTTATTTGCGTTTGGCCGATTCTATTGAAATGTTCGGTAGAAAATATTGAATAGGAAAAGTCAATAGAATTCAACTTTTCTATTCAACTTGTTCTGCTGTAGAAAATATCTTCAGATATTTTCCTCGGCTCCAATGCTCTAATTTTTGTTCATTCTATTTTTTTTTTCTTCTCATCAAGTAAAGAAAATGAGAAAATTTAGAAAATTTGAGTCGAGAAAATTCTATAGAAATGATCTCAAAGGCATAAATTATATAATAACTTCTATAATAAATTCTATTGATTTTTTCTGTTGAATCCTTTCTATTGAACATTTTAATTGAATTTTCTAACGAATTCGCTAGGTTTTTCTATTGAATTTTTTCATCTGTGACATAATTCGGGAGAATGATATTAGAATTTAAATTCAAATAGATGTAACTCAAAGTTGTGAACAATTAACATTTTGCTTCCGAATGCAAGCTTTGTAATCGCTTAAATTGAAGTTTCACTTTTTTGCATTAGGGTAATTAAATATGGTCTAAAAGGTCTGAATATGCGATTTTTAGAAAATATCTCATGTATGCATATATGTATGTGGTCCTTTTCGTCATTTTTCATAAGGAATCAATCAAATTGCATGAGTGCTTTTGGGATATAGACTTGAATAAACTCTATTCATTGACCACAATTATGCTGAATAATTATTGATATTGATTCATGGTCCCGACTAACTTCTGACAGAACCTGGGGTAAACTCTGGCTAAATCCTGAATAAACCCCGAGGGGCTGGTCACTTAGGAAATCACTGGACCACTCGACTGGAAATCAAGGAAATCACCAGAAATCAATGGAAATCACTGGAAATCAAGTGATTTCCATTTTCGGTGGTCATTTCTGAAGATTTCTGGACATCATCGGAAATCAACAGAAATCATAAAGAAATCAAGTGATTTCCGAAATCATTAGAAATCATTCATAAGTGTAAAATTGAAATTGATTTTGGAGTTTCAAGTCTGCAATTTTTGTTATGGTATCGGTGCGTTCGACATCATCCAATCCCAAAATGTGACGCTATGAAATTTTTGACATCCTTACGTATTGTAACGTCATGTAAAAAACTGCTATTATCGACAGATTCCCCTTCTGTGGTTCCGAAATCATGATTGCTCCGGTGAATTCTTGAAATCAAGAAATCATTAGAATCTGCGAGAAATCAGGGAAATCACAAAAAATCAAAAGAAATCATGATTTCTAATGCTGATTGAGAAATCACAAAAATCATTTGAGAAATCACAGAAATCAACAGGAAATCACAGGAAATCATTTGATTCTGGAAATTACTGAGTCACTCGATTGAGGAGTGACCAGCCCCTCGATAAACCCTGATTAAATTCCGGCTATACACTGATTAAACCTTGATTGAACCTTGATTAAACCCGGACTGAAAACGAATTCGAGTCTTGAGAGAGTCTGACTGTAGAATGATTTGACGAAATGAAATAATTCGCAAAATTTTGATGACATTTCAATTGATGATAGTACTATGGCATGAAAAAATAGAAGAAGAGAATAGTGAAATAAGAATTACAAAAAGAGAATCCATTCTAAAGCAAATTGCTAATTTATTTGCAACAATAACTACTCATTTATAAAAGAATGCAATTATCCACTTGTTGAATTCTTCAAAGCGCTCAATTTGGTTGTTAAATTATTTACAATAATTGACAAGTTTAGATCGAGATTCTTGTTTCGACGACCTCCATTGTCATACGTCAGCAACATCTTCACTCTCCCCTTCGCCCGCTCCGTTTGGATCGCCATCGTAGCTTTTCTAACCATCAGTTTCGGGTTTTTGTATATAACCATGAAGTGGGAATGGGAGAAGATGCAGGCAATACCTTTGGAATCCCGATTGGGGGGAGATTTGGAGGGGAAACCTACTGTCACTGATAATCTTCTCGTTTTACTTGGTGCTATTTTCCAACAAGGTACACTAGTGGAAGAATTTAAATTCAATAAACTCTATTCATTCACCACAATTAACATCCTATTTTATTGAATTTTTTTGAGTTTATTGAAGTTGGCAGAGGTTCATACCTCTGCCAAAGAAAGATACGTTGAACAGGGGAAATATCGCGTCGAGAGGAACAGACTTTTAAATTGATCGATTCAATGACAGAAATTCATTCTTGCCAGTAAACTAGCAATTCACATTTTTTGGTCTAATGTCTTAAATTAAGACGCCTTGAAGACACTAGTTTTTACTGTCCGTGCAACAGATGTTCTCTCGGCAGGGGGTTTCAGGAATATTCAACACGAAACAAATTCATCACACAGCAAATTCAACACCCCATACGGAAAAATGGATATTCTGAAAATTATATATTTTATATATGGAATTGGCTTGATTTACATGTAAATGTTATATAAAATATAAATTTATATATGTTTCATATATATTTTATATATAAATATAAATTTATATATGTTTCATATATATTTTATATAAATAAAATATGAAATACAAATAAAAATGAAAGAAATGAAAAAATATAAAATGTAAAAATATAAAAATAGTAAAATATAAATTTATATATGGTTCACATATATTTTATATAAATCTTATACACATTCAAAGAATATATTAAATTGACCTGTATTGTATACTAGCGAACGCTAGATTATAGTATCTTAAATTAATTTATTTTATTTTCTTTACAATTTTTCTTTGCAATTAGATTAAATTAAATTTATTGGATTAAATTTATTAGATATTGGATTCCCATTGTAGTATACAAATTGTGGGAACAGGTTTTCTCATTTTCAAATGAAGAGATATTTATGTTAAATAATATCAGTATAATATAATAATTGCTCTCAATAAAATCATATCATGAAAACGAAAAATTTCGCTTTCATGATCTGATTTCATTGAGAGGAAATGAGAAAAAGGCAGGGAGAGATGATCAGCAAGAAAATAAAAATTTCGATTTTTCAATGTCTCCGGAAAGTTTTAAAATTGATCTATTTTTTCAAATAATGAAAGAATACCCATCAATTCAATTTCTATCCTCACATTTTGATAGAATACATAAAAAAATAGCAAAGAATAAAAATCGGGAATGAAAAATTTTATCGGATTAATATAATGAAATTGTTTATATATTTTTCTACGACGGGCCACCATGAATTCAACAATACATCCACCAATACAATTCCCTAGCGAATTCGCTAAGTTTTTCTATTGAATTTTTTCATACATGTCACCGTCATTTTGCAGGTTTCAGTTGTGAGCCCCGAACCATTTCGACGCGAATCGTCGTTCTCATGGTCCTGCTAATCGCTCTAAGTTTATATGCTGCTTACACAGCGAACATCGTGGCACTTCTCCAATCTACTGCAGACTCAATAAAAACATTGGACGACCTGATGAACAGTCCTCTGAAAATCGGGATATTCGATATAGTTTACAACAGATACTACTTCGGGGTACTCACACAGCAAAAACGAAAGTTTGAAGTTCACACACCTTTTGCAGACATTTTTCGGACACTTGAAAATTTCTGGATAAAATGAAAATTTGTCTGAATTTCAAACATGAATTGCGATATTTGGGCACCTGTTCGTCAGAAATTCAGACACATTTTCATTTTATTCAGACGTTTTTCAGTGTCTGAGATATGTTTACACGGCGAGAAATATTTAGTAGTAATATCCCAAAACCTTCAAAATTATCGGGTATTTTCCGATAGCTTCGTTGCAAACAAATGAGGGTGTCAAGTTTGGCAGGTTAAAAAATTTCGAGCGCTTGAGCGAGGGATTGTTCTGCAAGACCTGGCACGATGCTTTGTTTGCAGGGGAGCTTGAGGGAAATACCCGATTAATTTTGAATCTCGAGGGGTATTTGTCGGATTAGTTTTCCCAATCGGATTTTGGCCAAGCAGACTGCAGTGGACAACATCAGGAGGTGAATTGGGGAAGATTTGGACAAATTATGTTAATAGAATAACCCGCTTTCCATAGACTGTCAAATATAAGATTCTATCTGAAATGAGCCGAAAAAATGAAGAGCCACTGTGAAATATTCAGCTAAAAAAATTAAGAACTACTGCGAAATATTCAAAAGCTAAGAGGAAAGATCCGAAATAAAACTGTCGGCTAGCCTCAAATACTGCGCTCTGATTGGTCGAAATCCGATTGGGAAAAATAATCAATAAAAATTACGTCTTTTCCGTAATTGCGGAGCGAAATGTGGGTGTAGGAAATTTCACGGAACTGTCACGTCATTTTTACCTGAATCTCCTGTGAAAAATTCCGATACCATCACTTAAATTTTCTGAGTCGATTCCATAATCGGTGAGCGAACTGTGAGTTCCGTAGTTTTTACTGAACATTTCTCTCCGTGTACGAAAGGTGTGTGAAATTCAGACATTCGTTTTTGCTGTGCAATACTGATGATTTCATCTAGTATATGTAACACCGGAATATATGAAAGTATGATTCTAGGCGTTTGAGGATCCCGTGAGAAAGGAGTTCTATGAGCGATTGGTGAAAGATAAGCCGGCGGTTTGGATGCCCCTCGAGGAAGGAATTCGGAAAGTCAGAGAGGGACTGTTCGCTTTCCACGTGGATTTGGGGTTCGGTTATCAGATGATGCAGGAGACCTACGCGGAGGATGAAAAATGCGGGATCGAGGAGATTGATTACTTGAAGGTTTATGATCCGTTGCTCGTTATCGAGAGGCAGTCGCCCTTCCGGGAAATTATACGCGTTGGGTAGGTTTTTGGAATATGTTTAAAAGTTTCTTTGGAAATGCTAGTGTCGAGATGTGCCTTTCGGTAAAGAGGAATGACGACAATAATCAGGGATTTTCAAGGGATGTTTCTGATTCCAAACACAGGTTTTATAGGTTTTAGTCCAGGCTTTGAACAGAAAATTTCGAACGGAAAGAGCGAAAGGACTCGTGCCGTCTGCAGGGAGAGAAAAGTTGAATAAAAATTATCTAGAAAATCGTGGAAAATTTACTGTATGAAGGGTAATCGTGGAGCGCAATGTAATTCAATGAAAAAATGCCTGTTTATAGAGGATATTTTACGATCTGTTCGATAAAAAAACACCTCTATGGATGCAAAAATTATCGTTCTATACAGTAAAATTTCCTACACCGGTAGGGTATTTTTTCCATCTGAAGGTTCTGGGTTTGAGGCCATTGGACAGGGGGATTCAGGGGATGAAATTGCAACTATTTAGAGTGTCAGGAGAATTTTTCAGTCGTGATTACAATAATATTAAAATCCACTCATCACTAGTTTTGTATTTCAAGAAAATTTATTGGGTATGAGATGTCGATTAGGGAAGTCATGACAACCTGAGTGTGGAGACGCCACCGCAAGGTGGCGCAGTAGCCGAATACAAACGCCAACGACTCTCCATCTGTATCTCTACATCTAGACGAAAAAGCATAACTCGAGGGAATGATTCAAAGAGGTCTATCTTGGAATTCCAATTTAAATGGATCTAACTTAATTTTATGGTTTAAAAAGCTCTTATTCAGTTCCTTCCGCAAGAAAACACTACACGGAGAGAAAGTGTGGATAAAAATTAACTGGAAAATCGTAGCAAATTTTACGGTACGAAAGTATATATATCCATGGAGGGAACCCCATAAAATTGTACAATTTAGCATAATTCGACGGAACGACGCGCGCAAACTGCCCTATTAGTGCCCTCTGTTACAATTAAACTAATCGATCTTTCAATAGAGCCTTATGGATAGCTGAAACAGGGCTGAAACCTCGTGTCGCCTCGAAATTCTTCACTCAGAAACCACCTTGCATTGGGAGCACGAGTTTCGTGAGCGTCGGAATCATTGACTGCTACGTAGCCATGCTCGCCATCGTCTACGGCTGTGCTATCAGCGTTGGGATTCTCCTCCTGGAAAATCTGTGGCGAAGATGGTAAGGAACTACCGTGAAATATAGATTTCAACACGACAAAAGATCTGTCAATACATCTTTTGTCGTGTTGAATCAATCTACTTGTGGACAAAAAGTAAGTTTCCACCAAAACATGATAATTTCCGTAGTAGTAATTGTTCTCGTGAGACATTTATATGTCTTTCGGGTAAATAGATTCGTTCTACGGAGAATTATATGAGGCCCCGGTTTTATCAAGTGAATGTTATTGAGTAGTGTATATCTTTGTCCAATAAACACTTATTATTTCCATGGAACAAATGATAATTTCAAGAGGAAACTACTATTTTCTTGCCGAAAACTGTGTTATTGGCAAAATTAAATAATTTCGAGGGGATAATTTTTTTGGGAAAAAAATATTCTTTCCTCGTCAATGTATTCTTTCTATGATAGAAACCTATGGAGTTCCCTCAGATCAAATGATTGTCCTACAATAGATTAAATTGGTTCATTTCCCTCAAGTAAATCCCTTCCAATTCATCAAATATTCTCACGTGGATCTTAAAGATCTGTGACACGTCAGTGATGTTTTTTTCACTTCCTTCAATATTATTTTCTCTCTGTTCATGTTTGCGTATTCTTCTCAGTATTGGGGAACGTCGGAGTCATGATAACACTCCATTGAAGACTTCTCTTCCCGAATCTTCATTAACGAGAGACGAAAAGTCCGCAACACAATCATCAACAAGTCTTCAAATTGAAGAACTTTTCGGATAATCAATTTAATTGGTCATGAGAATATTGCAAATGTACATATGGCTAATCAAATTACTCTGCGTTATCGTTCATAACTGGAGAAGATGTTAATGTAATTGTATTGAATAGCGTAAGAACGACATAAATTATGTAAATAAATATGAATACGTGAATGATTACTTCAGAATTTTTTGACGCATATCTCACACCCGTGCTATTTCCATCTCGTTCAAGGCCTCGTATAATATTTTATTTGGACGTTTCAATTTTTTGCGGCGCAGATCGTAAACTCCGTACATATGTCACATTAAAGAGACAATTATCATCTTTTTACATTTTACATTATCCCCGATACCACAAGCATTGATTCCTCAGCGAAATGCAAGATCTTTTATTTTTTTATCTGAATGAATTCGAACTGAAATTATTCATAACTAGTTCAGTTTCTTCGATTCTAGTGGCTTTTTGTTTTCAACAAAATGTTTTGGCTTCAGGAGTTCGAAAATGCTATTTTTAGGCTATGTCCGAATGTGTGTGTGAACAATAATTATTTAATAAAATAATAATTATTTAACAATAATTTTATAATAATTAGACCACGTCCGATAATAATTTGATGATATTTAGACGATGTCCGAATATGTGTGTGAGCAATAATTATTTAACAATAATTATTCAAGTGAATCCAATTGTGATTTAAAATATTCTTCCCCATGTCATCTTCACCGAGTTCAATGAGATTCATTGCAATAATAGTTGCATCAATATTTAGGGAACGGTAAAAACGTTGGGGTAATGTTGGGACAATGTTGTCTACCAATGTTGGGATAAAATTGGCTGCCAATTGGGGAAATGTTGAATTCAATAAATCATTGAATTCGATTTAAAATACATCTTCATAGAAATTCCATTCGCAGCCAAATTGTTAATTTATTTAACAATTTCCCACTTGTTTAGTCTCCCAGTAGGAAACACGAACGGCGAAAAAGAAAGCTCGAAATTGATGCTTGCACATCACGAAGCTCTCATTATCCTGAATCATACGATGTATCCGAATACCAACTTATGATTATGAAAATTGTCTGTCTGCCTTTCGTGGATGTCGTGACTGCATTCTAGATTGGCTCCGACAATCAGCTCCTTTGACAATCCTTTTTTCTGTTCGATTCACCTTTTTGTAACTTCAGTTGAGTCTCGGATGTCGAAGGAGTCGCATCGAGAAGTGAATTCTCCACGAGAGAATCACGATCTTCTGGGCAATTCGGGATTAATGGGTTAATGGGTCCCGATACGAAATTTGGGGTGATGGGTCCAATCATTAATTCGATTCCTGATTATATCTGATTAAGGAACTTCCGCAGTAAGTATATGGGAGTAGAAGAAAATGGACTACAGAGCTGAAATTTTGAGAATATATTCTTTGAATGATTGCAAATATCATCCCGAAGTCCCAAAACGCTGAACCACGTAGATTGTTGAGGAGGAAATATGAAAAATGTGTCATTAACACCGAGTCCTATGGCACCACGTTTTCAAAAATCACAAAAAAATAATCGACAATGGAATGAAAATCCAAACGCTTCACGAATAGAACCGTATATATTTTAGGAACATATCCCGATAATTTCATTAGCCGTTACCACAGGGATTATTTGTAATTTATTGAAAATGTATGGCATTGTTTGGGATTTTAGTTACGTTAGGGTAAACTGATGGCTGAACATGGCAACGTTGAGGGAGGTCTGAGTTCGCGCGACGGAGGCCATCGTGTGAACTCAGCCAAAGCATATACTATAAATTCTATAGTACAGTATAGGATTTTATCGGGACACAGGAATACCAACTGCGGCGAACAAAAATGCGTGGTTGTCAAATCTCTCATGAAAATTTTCATTTGTTAAAAAATTCGGATAAATAATATTTTGGAATAAAAATCATTTGGAATTGATTAATCATGAATAATAAGTGTAAAGAAACCTAAACGACAAATTTTCAATACACCCGTGAACTTTTCGTCATTTCATTATTTTTTTTTTAAAGGATGCAGCGTAGTGTCGGAACCTTTGATCTTTTCCCCCACTCCATAGCCCCAAAATTTACTGCGGAAGTTCCTTAATCTCGAGCCAGGAAGACTCAAGACGAAAATTAAAATCGGATGATTGATAATCAATACACAACGATGGGATCAACCGATCCCCGGAAAATGGCAATAACTCAAAAAAAAGTTGGCAAATTCCAATGAGAAGAATCGAGTGAACAGAGAACGAGTCACGGAAAAATTAATTAATTAGCATTAATTTGGATCATCATGTAAAACTTGTACCTGAGGAACATGAGCCATAAAACTGTGAGTCTCGGAATTTACGCGAATCCTTGATGATTTTTTCCGCCAAGTTTAGATCATCTGGAAGGAGTTATTGATAGCCAGTGGCTTGTTAAGTTTCTTCAAAGTGCTCGCTGTCTCGAACGCAAAATTTCTCTAGCTTCGTGTAATATGCTAATTGGTTGAGTATCTTCCTCGAATGTTTAAGAGGCAGACTGTGTAATTATGGAGCTATAAGTTTTATTATTCTTCTGTTGTGGAGCTTGAACATCTGTCGGGGAGTGAGGCTGGTTTTTTGATATTTGAATCGTGGTTTGATATTTCAAGGTCGAAAATTTTATGAAATTGCTGGAAGAATGCATATAAAAGTCTATTTATGGAAGAAAAACTCATGCCTCGAATGTGATTTATTGTTCATTGTTCCATTGAATTGTGATGAATACACATGTCCTAGAAGAGAAGGCATAATTCGGAGGAGTGATCCAAAGAATTCTATCTTGGAATTCCAATTCAAATACATTCAATTCAATGTTACGCGGGAAAATGTTGTTTTAATCAAATGGATCATTTATTTCAAATAAACCATTTTGCTCAAAGCCATTACTATTCAAAGACCTAGATTTCTTTATGAAAATCGCGAAGCTCACAATCGCTAGTGATAGAAATGGATGAAAATTATGTAACGCGTAAATTTTGGTAATGATAACGTAAAATAATTAATTGAGCAAAAATGAAAATAAAGGGAAAAATTAAGTACTTAAGAACTTTTGTAATCTCTAGTTGGATAAAAAGGAAAAAAAGTATCTATTTTTAAAAAAGGTGAACAGCATGATCTGCAGTGCAATTTCACCATTCATCCTCAAGTGTCGAGGCTTTGAAACTGAGTGCATCCTCACAACTTCTATTGTAATTATGCGTACGTCAATTTACTTAAAAAACGCAAAATCTATATATTTTCCACTGCCATAGGGCGCAGTCCCTGAAAGGCAGTTTATTGAAATAAATAAATAAAAATAAATGAAATATACCGTTTTTCTTCTATTAAGTCATTTGAGAATTATTTTCCATAAATTAATTTTAACATTGTTCATTCATAAGAGTAAATAATTTTTTTAACGTAGAATTAGTTTGTGAAATTAACCAAATATTGTGAAATCAACCAGTAAGGATAAGCAGCCAGCAAAATTTTTTAAGTTAGAAATTCATTTTTGTATTGTTCTATTTTTGGTGTATTTTTTAAAATAGAGACTCGAAGAGTCAATTTAATAAAATTCCAATTTTTCTATTTTTTTCGCTTATTGACCTTGTTTCTCCCAAACATCAATTCTTCCTTGTGCAACTAATAAGAGAATTCCAAATAAGTTAACGAATTGTTATTTTGAGATAGTCTTAAAAATTATATTCACTTAATTTCATTCCACAAGAAATAACTTATGTTAGTGATTATTTTTCCAACCCAAATATCGGGCAATATAATTGGCCCATTCGACATCACGTGGTACAAGCTACAGGGTTTTCAACTGATAATTTTTTGATAATTTTCTCTGGTAGTTGCTATATAAAAAACAAAACATCATGCAGTCGAAATAACCCCTCGTCAAACTGACAGATTGAATTCAATTGTGTCGTTGTGTTAATTATACAATTTTCGTTTCTCAATTGTGAGTTTCGTCTCATGGTCCAATTATATTGCCCGACATTTGGATTGGAAAAATAATCCCCCGAATACCACACGAGCTTCAAAATTAATCGGGCATTTTCCTCAAGGTTCCTTGCACACAAACGAACCTATCGGAAAAAACCCGATAATTTTGAAGCTCTTGTGGTATTACAAGTGATTATTTTTTTTATTTAAGGCCCGGGTGTACTATCTTTCGAATGTTATCTGGATTTTTTTTATCTTTCGTAATCCAAAATTGTCAATTGAGTGGTACATCATGTAGAAATTCCCACAAATTATGATAGAATGATTTTTAAAAAATAGAAAAAAATCTGAACTTTTTCAAAGAGCGTTTTTGATTGAGATTCAGAATGAGTTGAAAAAAGTGGAAATTACAAATATCTGATTCGCTGTGATATGATCTATTAGCTGTCATTTTCCATGGTGGAGAACAAAACACTAACTCCTCATGGGAAGTGACAGCTAGGTATCTCAATTTTCAAAACAGTGGTATGTAGTCATCTGCCATTTTTATGTGATAAAAGTGTGATTAAAAAATTCTTCAAAATATTACACCTTTTTCAAAGGACCTTTTCCGTAATAAATGTCTCTGTACAGTGTGGGAAAAGATTTACGAAATCAGTCTTCCCCTTGCATGATATTGGGTGACAGGCCTCCATTTGTCACCGTAAATCAGATACATTTTTCAATTTCTTGTTATTCAACTTATTTTGAATATAAATTAAAAATGTTTTTTGAAAAAATAAAGAATTTCTTCTACTTATTTTTACTATTCCTTCATAATTTTTCAAAACTTCTGCATGATGCAGGACTCAATGGACAATTTCAGATTACGAAAGATGAAAAAAACATCGAGATAACGTTCGAAAGTTAGTACACCCAGGCCCTAACTTCTAAATTTCCTTGAGGTTTAGCCACCCCTGACATAACATACCTAAATATGGTTGAAGTAATAATACTTTGTTGTGTACTGCATAAATTCCTAGGCTCAATGAATTTATTGATACCTGTATTTATTTAGGAGTAATCGGGAAATATTTTACACACTCAAGTTTCATAGCCCATTAAATGTCAAGTGTGAAGTAAAAACAAAATGAATAGGGAAGAAGCTGAAAAGTTAATTATGGGCAGCTGCTGTTATGTTAGAGCAGCAGAATTTAGCACGAATTTACCTGAGTTATGACTTTCTAAATTTCCCCTGAGGTAGTTCTTTATTGAGGAAGGAATTGAGTTATTCCCTTTTGGAACCACAACTTTGAGTTAGATCTATTTGAGTTGAAGTTCTGAGCTGTCCAATTATGAATCATTCTCTCGAATTCAGGGACGCTGAGGCGGGGAAATGGACACTTTTAACTTTTTTTAAAACTGTTCATAACTTACTAATGAATTCACCAGTTGAGCCCAGTCTAGCCTTATAAGAACAAGAAAGAGTTGTATTTTACAAGAAAAAAATCCCGTTTCATCGACAATTCCATTCATTCTTAAAATTTTAAACAAGCAGGGGTTCGAGCTTATTTGACAGAAGACATTTGACCGTTACTTTTTACGCTATTATTATAATTATTATTTTTTCTTCTACCAATTCCCTTGGTAGTAAGCTTCCGAATGGATCCGTGGCGATTTTCTGTCCCTGCGACAGGCATATATATGATTTTTCACACTCTACACAATTTTCTGAAAGTGTCCGTAAACATAATATTTTCTCCATAAAATATTATGAAAAATTTCAATTATAAAATTCAATTACAAATAATCATTTATGTCATTAGGCCCGATAAACCGCGATTCTAACCTCGCTTTGTTCGGTTAGATCGCGGTTTTCGGGCCCAACGACATAAAATACAATATGTCATACGGCGATAAAAGCATTATCTGGCGAATGTGATTATAATCCGATCTAATCAGATAATACTTTTATCGCCTGATGACATAATCTACTATTTTTACTCTTAATGCTCATTTTTGATAGCATTTTATTAAAACATTCTCTTATAAATATCAATTTTGTTCTACTCTGATTCAATTACTTCCTTTGATTTCATGTTCATCCTCCCATAAGTAGTGATCTGTGTTGCAGAGGTTACATCCCGTCCAAATTGGCAAAAATCGTTCTCGTCCCATATTGTAGTCAATAGTTCTACTTTCCTTCGTTCAAAATAAGACAAAGTGTCCATATTACCCTTCTTTTCCCTATGTCTTTTCATCTAGAACAAGTCGATATGAGTATTAATCCTTGTGGTCCTTTGTAAATTGTCTGACAGCTATCTGAATTTAAGATGTCAGATGATAAAAAACGTCTGAATTTTCAAAAGTGTTTGAAAATTTCAACCACCATTTCTGTCTGAAAATGATGGTAAACATTTTTTGTCTGAAAAATTTTAGGTATTCATTTTCAGATATTTTCTGTCTGAAATTCAGTTATTTATGAGCGATTCGAACATTTCACTATTAAGATATCTCACCTGATTCAGACGGCAAAGTCCATTCAAACATTAATTTTTAAGATATTTCTCACGTCTGAAAAGTTGACTCATACACTGCAAAAACTAGGAGTCTGACAACCATCTGAATTTAAGACGGCAGATGACAAAAAACGTCTGAATCTTTAAGTGTCTGAAAATCTAACTGATGTCTGAAAATTTCAAACACCTTGGTGTCTGAAATTGAAATACCTCCATTGATTCAGATACATTTTAACGTCTCAAAAGTGTCTACAAAATCGTCCCAAAAGTGTTTGAAAAATGTCTATAAAAGTGTCTGAAATTCAGACAGTTTTCGCAGTGTCTGAAGCATGCCTGTGACGCTTATCTAAACACGAGACCATCACCTGGCTCTGTCGACGTTCTATTCTCATTGATTAATCCAGAAATCACTGTATCATAGTTTTAATAATTAGTAAACTGTCCGCTCCATTACTTCATCAAAAGGGAGAACAAGGAATTCAGAATTTTAAAATTTATAAGACAATTAAATAAATATTTAGGCATAGTACAAAAATCACGGTAAATTATAATACTTTGGTGTTAACAAAGGCTAGTTCGATGCTGGTAGGAAATGTTGATAATAATTCTTCGTGAAGTCGACCATCAGCTCGAGCGTGCACTCAGGGAGGTCGTCCACTGGCGTTGCTGGATTACCAGCGAATCTCGTGAACGAGGGGACTATCGTTTCTGGGGGGACGACAGCGCCGTCTTCAACGTAGCAGCAGTCTTTGAGAATACACCGTCTTCCCTGCAATATTCAGATGAATAATCATTGCGATGAGTCAATGATATTTCATTGAATTATTCGGTTGAAGTGAAAATACTTACAATTACTGCATTTTTACCGATGTAGACGTATGATCCGACAACAGCTGCATTAACTACCGCTCGTTCTCCGACGAACACGTGGTCTCCCATTTGAAGTGGAAAAAATGCCACTCTGGAATTATTTTCAAGATGAAAATAGGGAAAAAGGAGATAAACTCATAGTTTAACTCAAAATTTATCAAAATAATAAATAAATCAATACATATTAATCTGCAGCGTTTGATTGTGAATAATAAAAGCTATTGGAGAAAAAATTTGAAAAAATTATCTCTGAAATCTTAATTTGAAGTCTTCTAAAACGTCCTGGTTACGTGAATAAATGAGAGACTATTTGTGATAAAGAGAACTTGAGATAAAATCGAAGAGACATCGAAGGATTTGCAATTAATTCCTTTTACGCTTCAGTTTAATCGATCCTGTAATATTTATGTTTCTCTTGGCAGAGAAATTGTGGAGAAACTAATTGGAAGAATGTCTGTACTTCTGGAAATACTTCAGTTTATGTATCAACGATGTTTAACGTGTGTTATTTTTCAAACTTCGAAGCTGACTGGAGTTTACTTCATGGTCATGGCTCCTCTCCAAGAACTCAATATAACTTGGCAATTTCAGTAGTATTTTCCACATGAAACGTTAAGATTTCTATTGTTCTTCAAGAAATGTGTGGGATAAGGTGATTATTTATTGCAATTTAATACTTCATGGGAAGGGGGAAAATGAATCTTCTTAAATTATTAAGAACTTTTAAGCCAAAGGTGCTATTCGGAGGAATAAGATGGATTCACTTTTGGAAACCTTTTTTTAGGCATTAAATTCATTTCTGGTAAAATTCTGAAAATTAATAAATTTGTTACCACCTCAAACGAATGATTTTTAGGGTGAAAAATTGATTGTTTATGAATTATTTGTAGTAAATGCTTGTAATTTTCAAAAATTGGAATTTTGCTTCCGAATGGAAGCATTGTATTCGTCAAATGTGAAATTTTCATTGGTTTGTGTGATGATGACGAATTTTGGTCTCAGGAGTTCGAATATGCTGTTTTAGATCATGCCTGTATGTATATATGTATGTGAGGTTTTTTTCAAATTTTGTTTTTCGACGATCATTTAAAAAATAATCGACAAAAATTTTTCAATTACGACGTAAAATATTCGTTTGGATGTTATCTCGGTCGAGTTCGAAGATCGTGGCGATCGCATCATTTGCTTTTAAATTAGAATCTTAAAAAGCATTTAATCGGGGTTTAATCACGGTTTAGTCAGAGTTTAGCCAGGGTTTAGTCGGAGTTTAGTCAGAATTTAGTCAGGTTTTAGTTGGGGTGTTTAGTCGGGGAATTTAGTCGAATTTTAGTCAAGGTTTAGTCAGGGTTTAGCCAGGATTTAATTGGAGGTTAATCAGGTTTTAACCCAGGTTTCATCAAGGTTTAATCAATGTTCAGTGGAAGTTTAAACCGGTTTAATTTTAAATTAGTCGGCGTCTGGTAGATGTTTAACCAGGGCATATGGAGCTCATGATAGACATTTGGAACATTTAGGATCATATTAAGGTTTCGTAGCTGTAATATCTTCTTCCCCACTTTAACATTCCGAAGCAAACTGCTAATTCATTAGCAAAAAAGTTATACTGGTCTTACGTGCAGTTTAATGAAAACTATTCAGGAGAAAAATAAAATTTAAATAATTTACTTACGACCGAGTAAACATCAACATTGATGTATCAGGAGCATGAACTCTTGTGATATCAAATTTTACATTCATTTTGTTTTCACTCAATCTGTCTAATTTAAAATAAATTCAGTTCACTAAAAAATTTTTTCTCAAATTGTCTTTAAAAAAACTATTGAATTTTCCTGAGGTTAAACTTCAGGAAGGATCCCTACTAATCTGAAATTAATGACAGAAAACCGAATATGCACTTTTTTGTTTTAATTCCATTAATCCATTGCAAATTGCTAATTTTTAGCAAAATAACTACTTGATTTGGACCTGCGCAATGGGCCGCTTGTTGAAATTATTTCATGAATCATCCTCCAAAAGTAAACATCCTAATTTTTCCTCAGATTTTTAAAACGTTTTCAAACGGTTCAATATCGAGATTCAAATTCAGACCTCCAAACTTGAAATAATCAAATGAGTCTAATGAGTCCCAAATGAAAGCTTTTCCCTGGAGAAAAAATAGCCAAAGCACTTGCACATCTTTAAATAGGAAATAGAACGAACAACTCACCCTTTACTGAATTTCTTGAAGGGAGGTCTGATGACAACATTCTTACTGATTATGCAGTACCGCCCAGTCCTGACGTTCGCCAAATCCCCCCTGATAATCGCGTCGGACTGGACAATGACTTTCCCGTGCAGAACGATGTTCTGAGATCCACAGAGAACAGTTTGTCTACTGACTTTATTTCCCGAGGCCTGAGGAAGAATACAAAGTCAATTGGAGGTTATGTCGTGGGGCACGTAAACACGATTTTATCGTTGGAGAAGAATATTACCGTCTCGACGTACTCCGCTTTATTGTAGTAAATATCCTGGGGCTCCATTTCCCTTCCAGTGAGTGAATTTAAATCACCATCAACCGATTTAGAAGAGAGGGAGGAAAAAATGAGAATTTGACATTCGAACACCTGTCAGTAATTCCGAGTACGATGGAATCAGCTGTTCTGCCTTGCTCTATCTCTTCCTCCCCCACTTCAGGCGCAGTAGACGTTGCGCATTTTTCCACCGGAAGTCCAGTTGGCGCTCTCGATGGGAACGTCGCATTTGAATCACAGAATTAATGATTCATTTAATATTCAATCGTTAATTATTCACAGACCTATTTTTTTATCTGAAACGTTCATCAAAAATTGACAATAAAATGACAAGAGTTTTGGCATCAATTAGAGTTTATCTTTCGTCGTAGTTGGAGGATTATTAATTTTTTTGGTGAGACAAATATTGAAAATAACCGAAAATCGCTATTATTCATCTATTTCCATTGTACAATTAGAGAAATAATAATTCTTCACTCAGAAATCATATTAAAGATAACCCGATCGATACCAGTAATTTTTAAAACAATAAGGGAAGCGTTGCAATTTTCTTGAATTAATAAAACAATCCGAGAATTCTCTAGAAAACTGAATAATTTTCTATTTCTTTCTCGAATGAGAAGAAACCCGGACATTTTCCTAGAATTTTTCAAGAAACTTGGAAGTTTTCTGTTTTTTAGAATTTAGAACCTATATCCAAGTCGAAAAATGGAAGAGAATTACATTCATGCCATCCGCGAAAAATGGAAAATGAAAGGAATTCCAATAGATGGGAGAATCAATAAATTTTACGCATGATAAACATGAGAAAATCGACAATCATGGCCCAAAGAATAATTTGTAAGTTTGAGGAATTTAAAAATACCGTGTGTTTTTAAATTGACTTTAACAGAATTGAGAATTAATGGTCAGAAAATTTCGATATATTTCGACAAGTATTTTTGCAATTGTTTCTAAATTTCTGCTGTTTGTTGTAGTGATCGTGGGAAAGATAGAACGCGAATAATCTACTGACTGACAAAAATTGTGATTGTGACTTTGTTATGTAAACTTTGAGGGCCCAGGTGGCATAGAAGTTATGATCATTTAATAACATGTATTTTTAACACAATAAAAACAAACGTGGATATAAAACAACTTCACGAAACTTTCATCTTTTACAGATAAAATTCTCTCGACTTGTATGTTTTCTTCTAGGACAAATCGTATCAATTATCTGTTAATATTGCGGTAGGACTACTTACGCAATGAAAGGAGATTTTTTGGGAATGAATATTGTGCCCGCGATGACTCCCGTCTTTGAAAAATAACGTTAATCAAATCCAGAGCCGGTTGTCCCTCGTCACCAGCTTGTGCTGCCATCTTCCTCGAGCCCCGCGTGACGACCTTCTAAAAAATTCGAATTCAAACGGATTATTCTGAATAATTCAGGACACGACCTTCTCACTACCTCCTGACAGAGAAAGTACTAAACTTGTTCCATAATATCAATCTCCGGTATGCGACTAACGGGGCATCATAACTTTTTGCATTTTTTTCTATCCAATAAGAATTCATTAAGAGTCTCCCAAAACATTTACAGTCATCCTTCGCTGATCATGATTCATTTGCCCAGAATGTAATAATAATCATCTCAAATGATAAACATTAAAGAAAAAATAAATATAAAAAGTACACGGAGAAAAAAATTCCAGAATTTTTCAGGAGAAATCCAGGAAAAAATTACCGTGCCGTCTGGTAAAGTGGGTTCAATTGTCTAGCACCAGAAAGATTCCGGTGCTGCATAGTAAAAATTCCGGTACCGCACAATAAAAGCTTGATCCCTGACTGTTTTCTATTACATGATAAATTACATTCAGTAGTTAAAAATGAGTAAACATTGTCATTCAGCATATCATCCTATTAATTTTATTTTAACCTCTCCTCCATATCCTCTCGCCCATATTAAAAGCGGAATGCGCGGCAAACGTATGTGGAACGTTTGACAGGCCAATGTATCTCTACAGCGTTATGCACCTCATGAAGAGAAAATAAAGGGCACTTATTTTATTTCTTAACCGTTTTATCACAACATTAATTAATATTTCACTGAATTGGTATTATGAAAAACATTAACCTGGGGTTTCAGTAAGGAGATATGTGAGAGGGGAGGCTAGAGGAGGCGACGGAATAAATCATCTGGTCACGTTGAGTTGATGTTCGTGGTTGCGGAGGGGGGACGAAGAGTACCAAAATCTTACCAATGCGCGATCGGGTCCTAGGATTCTGGTAGAGCACCGGAAAAATTTGCCAGCCAGTGTCATAATTTTTCTCGTATTTCTCGTAAAAATTCACTGTCGCTTCGATTTTACCGTGCTGCACAAGAATTTTTCCCCGCATTTATCCGAAAAATGACTCGCGCAACAGTACTTTTTCCTACTCTTTGCGGTACATTTCTCCTGGAAAGACCATCTGAACCCACTTTACTGTGCTAGCACGGTAATTTTTCTCGTACATTTCTCTCCGTGTAAATATTTAAAAAATATGTATGAAAAATACACGGGAAAATAAGTGAGAAAATACGTGAGATTGCCCTTCTCATCATATCGTATAGTCATTTTTGCTGATAAATTATACAACCGATTGTGTTTTTTGCCACCCCTGTGTGGCTTCACACGCTAATATTCTTGTCCTAACTACGTGCCATTTATTATTTCAGGAGCTGCATTTCCTATTCACGTTTCGGCGTTTATATTTTCGTTCAACGATTTGCTACTTATTGAAATTGGCTTTTTCATCGGGTTTACATTCCACAGGTTTGTCGTCTACATAAGCCCAGTTTAGGCCGTTATTGTCGATTATTATTAATATATGATGGAAAATTCGAAATTTGCCAAAATCATCATAAAAATAAAATCAACAGATACAGCTATGGTAATTATTGTTCAACTTCGACTGTGTGGCATTGAAACTAACATTTTAAGCTATAATTGAATTCATTTGAAGCATGATATCTGAAGATATGCCCGGAATTCCGATTTTCAAAAAATACAAAATTTTTTATAGAAATCAAAATGATTATTGCTATCGCCTTCATCTTCGAACTCGGTCAAAAGGGCCTCCAAACAAATTTTTTAAGCAATCATTCAATGAATTCAGAACATTTTTTCAAGTTAAAAGTACAAAAAACTTAATGAGAAAGAATAATTTATTGAACATAATAATTCTGTTCAGTGAAATGAAATCATAGTTTTTCATTTATACGTAATTTCACAGTAGAAGTTTTTCTTCAATTCTTCATTGTTTTTGATTTCATCGTCATGACAACGCACCTCCTCAACTCCCCCACAAACCGTCACTGAAACTCCACCAACTACTCTACAATTTTCCTCCGTATCCACCCAGTACTTTACCGAAAATTCGCAATAATGTCGCTCTTTCGTACAAAAGAATGGTGGAGAACAGAATGTGGAAATGGAGAGACATTCGACGGCCAAAGTCTGCTGGTGGTGCCTCTTTTTGGCGAGGAAAAACGTGATATAATTATTGTGGCTAGTCACAGCGGTAACCTGAGGATTTACAGTCCCTCGGCGCAATGGAACGATGAGACAAACTCATCAAGTGGTTACAAATTAACCGATCTCATAATAGAAACTAAAATTGCAGACTGCATAATCGACGTGAAATCCGGAAAATTCGTTTCGTGAGTAGAGTGAATTTTTGCATTATCCTTTGACATTTTATTGTCCCTTCAACTACATGAAACCCCATATCCATAATATTTACGGAGTTTTTCCTTCTGGATTATGGTTCGCATAGCCTTTTGATTCCCATTTTAACACATCGCAAACTTCTTCGCTGTAGGAATCAAAATGTGATCGAGGTTTCAGCAGTTTTTTGCAGTTTTATTACTTATTTATAATCATTCTCATTGCAAAAAGCAATGCGACCGATGAGAATCATATGTCCCAATTTATCAGCTGTTAAATTTCCATATTACAATAAATAATTTCCTCATGTTTTAATTCCTATGCTCACTGAATAAGATTTTAATCATCATTACAATTCAATTCCTTCTAAAACACACTTTAGAGTGTGAATTTCTGGAATTCAATGGTTGTTGATACTCTGGTAAAAGTGCGTGGCCACACTGTTATCAATTTTTAGTTAGTTCACACGGTAATTCAATTTATCTGTTGTTCATCTCATCAATATAATTCCGTACTTAGAATATTGTCATCTCGTGTATTCAGCACCAAATTAAAAATTAAAACTTCATTTGGAACATTGAGTCACAGCTTCTTTTGATTCACATCAGAAATTTTGTATTTAAATATTAATATTATTTATTCAAAGTGAAAAAATCGATCATCATTTTCACAATATTGCATTCAGGTTCTCCTATCCTTAACGTCAAAAATGTGAGATAATCTCATAATTCTAGCTATTAATTCTAATCAACTTTCTTCGAAGAAAACCTTAGTAAACGCAATATTAAGAAAGTAGAATTGTTCTATTTTCCTCTGACCTAAATGATTTGGACAATTATGATTCGTTTATTCATGTTTCATAGAATGGTATTCAATTCTCTTTTATTTGTTAGACGGGCTTCATGAAAATTCGACGCAAGACGATTGTGCTCATGGAAACCGCCTTGCTTTCTCCATTCGATCTAAATATCCGTCATGTTCGAGTTCTCATTTTCGATGCGAGATATTGCCCATGCTTTTTTTTAGACACTATGTTAGGTAATCCATATCAATTCTACTCATCGTGTCACTCTATCATGTAGTAAATGACTCCTCGTCACAACAGAAACTAAAATCCCCGATTGCATAACCACCCGAAAATCTAAAAAAAATCGTGCAATGACTGCGATGAATTTTTAAATCATCCTTTGACACCCGATGGTCCCTTAAACTCCATCAAGCACCATATTTACAACTTTTTCGATGTCTTCCCCCCCATAATGACTGTGATACGTGCCTGGCTCATGTTTTTGGCATCATTAAATCCGGTTTCCACGAAAATGGAGTGGCTTCATAAACTGCACGTGCTCACCGTAGCCTGTATGAGACAGTTAATACGATGAGAGGGATTTTTTTTTAAGAAAAAAAGGGAATCGTTTCACGTCACCTTAAAAACCCAACGTAATCGCCTTCGAACTCTGCTTACAGGGGTTCTCAGGATGTTCGTCTTGGTGTGCTGATGCCGACCAAGCTCGTCGTTTATGGTGTTACACTCACGGCGGGATCCACGGAGCATGGTTCGTCGAACTCCACCTTTAATCATCATATATGTAGTATTTGGTGGTCTTTTTAGTTGCTCTGGGCTCGAGACTTACTGTCTAGCGAGTTGTCCAGACATCATGGTATTTTTACTCGTGACCCTCGGAAGCACAGAGGAAAAAAAATGAGTTTCGAGGACATGTCATGGTTTTTTCGGAATCTATCACCAATTATTGGTGATACCGGACATTGATCAAAACAAATTACTTCTGATCAGTAGAAAAAGTACTTCTACCCAGTACCAAGGAGTTTCTGGGGAAAAGGAAAATTTTGTACTTCCTCGAAGTCACAAAAAAACCGGATGCAATTGTCATGCGTTAAGTACCTGGGTACTGGTGTGAAGTACCTCGGTACTTGTCACAAGTACTTTTGTTACTCGGGACAATTAAAAAAGTACTTGTACTGAGTAACTGGCTGGTTCTTTCCAAAAGAACTAACAGAATTCAATATGAGTAGCAATAGTACCTAAATCCAGTACTCATAATTTTTTCCAGGAATTCATTCTGGATTATAAATGAAGATCCAAATATTGGAGTACATGTGAACACAGTAAAATCTGAAGGTAAAATATGTTTTTGAAAACGGTAATTCCCATTTCAAAAATGTAATTTACGGTTTTCTCAAACGAGTAGCTTACGCTTTTGAGATCGTGAATTACGGTCAGAATAACGTGAATTACGATTTCAAGACCGTGAAATACAATTCTCAAAATTGGAAATCAATTCGGCTTGGAAAGCACCCATAAAAATCACAATCTACTGATTTTTTCCTACAAAATAATTCCAGTCAGGATTCGAATCCGGACCTCCCAACTAAGCTACCGGCAACTACGGAAATTCTCCCTCCAAATTCGCCTCACAACACCACCTAACCACCTCTAGGCATTAAATAAATTCAAAGAGAATTAGAATTTAGAGAGAACAAATCCCGTACCGCGGAGCCGTGATTCGAACCTGTGAACCCCAAATTCGGACCTGCTGAATAGTATATTGTCCACCCAGGGCGGACAGTCATGTTTTCCCCGCCCGAGGTGCACACGCTGTTTTTTAACACGCTTGTAAAGAAAAGTTTGTATTTTGCTTTCTGATAAGCGGGAGGAAAGTGAATACTTTCGGCTTAAGGGTGGAAAGTTGTTTCCGACTGAGGAAAGTACTGCCTTTCCGCCCTTAGGCGGAGAGTAATCAGTAATTTCCGTGCAGGGGTGTGAAAAAAAATTAAATTAAAAAAGAATGGTAAGGCAATTAAATTGCACGCTCTTGGCGTTACCCAGGATCTACGACGAGGACGTGGCAATATATTTTCCTGTGGTGGCTTTGACTTTGAATTTAAAATTATTTAAAATTCCGATCCGCCCAGCCGGGATTCGAACCCGGGTCTCCCAGTTACGCGTCGGGCACTCTTCCAACTAAGCTACCGGGAACCACGGAAATTCTCACTCCAAATTCAACTCAGCTTGAGAGTGCTCTCACAGACATGAGACGTCATGTCAAAACTATCAAAACTTTAAACACGTGAATTCATAAAACAAACACAATGTATTTTACCCCATAACTTTCATTAATTTCTTTCTCCGTGCATCAACTGCACTCATAATCACCATTTTTTCCGAAATGCAGAATATGACCCTCAATTAGCTCCACCAGAAATTCTTCATCATCATCAACTCAACATCCACTCAGCATTAAAAGCATTCTCACATGCACCTACCCCCTCCCCACCCCCCAAACAAGAACAGGAATTTACTTAATACCTGTGCACGATACTACAACGACGCCCAGACGCCGCATGACGTATCCGTCGCGACGACGAGTATTTGAATCATCGTTGCTTCATTTCATCATATCAAAAGACGGGTGAGCCACCGACATACCGGCACTGTTGCCAGCTCTACGCGTCGTTAGAGAATCATTTGCGCTAGAGAGCACACTGTACTTACGTACCCCGATATACCACGCGAATGAGACATAACGAATTTATATCATCACAGAGGCGACTTGGAGTACGTGTGACTCGTGACCCATATCGAGAGGAGACTGGGAGGCTCGACCGGTTGGCGAGTGATGATCAGGTCTCGTTATGATCGTCATTGATTTACTTGTACCACTCTCCGGGTTTTTTCATTTCCTCATCATTCTTTTCTCTGCGAGGGGCCACAAACTCCTGGAATCCGGGTGCCAGTTTGTGAGGAAATCAGTGAATTCACTGAAATCATCGACATCAAGGGATTTAATTTCAGTGGAATGATTCATGGAATTTTTGTTTCGTAATAAATGTTCAGTAATTGCTTGTTTATAGTGAATTATTAGAGGAGAGTGCGGCAAAATGGACTGTTTTCCATCGTCGATAACTGTTTTGTCGTAGGACCACACCGAATTAAATGGTATATTTCGTAACGAGTGCAAAAAAGTGTTTTTCA